GTCCTTGCTGCATATGGGGAGGTCCTTGCTGCATCTGGGGAGGTCCTTGTTGCAACTGAGGAGGTCCTTGTTGCATCTGAGGAGGTCCTTGTTGCATCTGGGGAGGTCCTTGTTGCATCTGGGGAGGTCCTTGTTGCATCTGTGGCTGTCCTTGCTGTACTTGAGATGAACCTTGTGGCACCTGAGATTGACCTGGTGGACCCTGAGGTGGACCTTGAGTCATCTGTGGCGGCCCTTGTTGCATTTGCGGTGGGCCTTGTGCTTGAGGTGGACCTTGTTGCATCTGCTGTGACCCTGGCTGCAGCTGTCCTGGCCCTTGCTGCATCTGTGGGGGACCGGGCTGCACATGGTGCGGGCCTTGGGGAACCCCCTGAACGTAACCAGGATAGTGAGAATGTGGGGGAATATAGGAAACCGTGCCGGTAGGAGGGGTTTGAGTCTGGCTCGTTGATGATGGTTGACCGTACTGCAAACCTGGATGGCTTGGCACCTGCTGATTAGGAGGACCGTCCTGCTCTGAATGCGGCCCTTGTGAGCCCGATGGAAGGAAATGCTGAGGTGACGGGTGAGGCTGCTGTTGAGGCTGAGGTTGCTGTTGGGGCGCCGCGGAACCACTGGCTTCGGGTAGGGCTTGAACAGACGCAGGTGGCGGCCCCGCAGGAGTGAACGAAGTAGCAGCCGAGGTTGGTGTTGGTGCAGTCGAGCTTGTTGAAACAGGAACGATAGGAGGTTGTTCCTAAGGGTTAGAGAAGAGTAAAAATTATTTACGAATGAGTAAGTTAGTCTGCGCTGCGGACTGAGGAAAAATACCAGTTTCCCATATAAACGTTACAAGAAAGAACGTATGCAACACTGATTCAATATAACTTATTTATGATGATTTTGGTTAATGATTGAGAATCTTACTTTATTCAGATAGCTCGAGGACTAATTAGAACAAAGGCCATGACACACGCATCATTTTCAATTAGCATGTTAACTAAGATGTAGTTTTATATTAAAAAAAAAACTTTGCCGAAGCCTTTAAAGGTCTTGATCTGCCGGCATATGCATATTTTTACCGAAAACAGTTAGCTATTTCATCACATTAAAGCATACCATTTGTGATGACTGAGTTGTCGATGTTCCGACTTGTTTGCCAGATTGTTCGGGTGGCCCCGTAAGAGGTGAGGGTGACGTAGTTTTAGGAGCAGGAGTCGAACCTGTACCAAGCGCTGTTTGATCTGGGCCGGTGCTAGCAGCTTCTGTTTGGGAAACTGACACTGCATTTACCGGTAGTTGGGTTTTTTTGTCCGGGACAACACCAGCTTCTGTTATGGGTTTAGCGACTACTGAAGGAGTCGCGGTTACAGGTGGAGGCTTGGAACTGGTCGGCTGAGAAACAGGGTGTTGCTGTTCTCGTGGCGGCAGCTGCTGTGGAAGTTGTTGTGGATCTACCGAGAGAACGGTTTCTGCTGAAGTGGCGGTCGAATGCTGTGACGCCGGTTGTTGGTCCCGTTGTTGGTCAACGTCCATGGGTGTATCCGCCGCCAGTAGAGATGCTGTGGTGGCAACTGCCGGGGACTCAACATTCGATTTTGTGACAGGGGCTGGAGCAGTCGTAATGAGGGATGACGATGACGTGGAATCTTCGGTTGTTGTTGTTGTTGCTGAGGTTGTCGTTGCTTCGCCAATGATAGGTGTCGAAGAGGCTGTTGGAGAGGTAGCAACAGCTACCGCCGACGCTGTTTCCGCCGACTCGAGGGCGGGCGGTGCGGCATTTTCCCCTGTAGTCGGCGCGACAGCAACAGAGGAGGCAGAAGCAGGGGTAGCCGTAGCTGACTGTACTACAACAGCTGCCTGTGCAGCTGCTGCCGCCGCCTGGGCCGCAGCCTGAGCCTGTGCTGCCTGGGCTGCAGCTGCTGCTTCTGTAAAAGCAAAAGAAGTCTAGATTGCAGTATATGTTCTTTTGTGTTACGCATAATCAATGTAGCATAACACAAAAGAACAATAAAATCATTGTGCTACACCATAGCATTTATCGACAAATTCACATAAGTTACATTCACCATGAAATAAAAAAACTCAAATTTATTCACAAGAAAAAAACCTGCGTTCAATATGTTAATCTGTCACTGAAAAACATGTTCTGCGTTTTACTTTCCTTGAAACGACTACAATGTTTGCTAATTTTTTTGACGGCTTGCAATAAAATAATTTAATCAAACTAAGTACCCTTTTCACGCTGTTGATGCTCTTTTTCGGCCTTCTCGCGAGCTTCCCGTTCTTTTTCACGTTCAATCTCAGCCAGTCGTGCGGCTTCCTCTGCCCGTTTCTCCTCTTCCTTTTGTTTCTCTCTGAGGCCTTCTAGGGCTTTCTCCACCATTTTTTCGTACGCGTCAGGGTCAACTGCTTTAACTGTTCGCTGTTGAGAGAAACGAGAGCGCAAAAAATCACGTCAGGCTCTAAGAACACGTATTTCTATTGAGCATAGCAGATGGAACCGAGTAATTCGGGTTAGATATATTTCAATAAAGATACCTCAATGAAAGCATACATTCACTTGTACTTCCTAAAAATGTATAAAACGAAGTACCTTCGTAAGTTCACAGTTGAATGCTTCGCTAGCTTCCATGAATTTAAGCTTTTTGGCTTCAAATTTCGCTTCAATTTGTTGCAGTTCTGTTTCAAGCTTCTCCTGATGCATCGTAAGTGACTGTACCTGTCGCTTAAGTACTGCCATTCGCTGACTTGTAACCACCGACCTAGAGAAGTTGAAGATACACATGAGACAGAGAAGACAAGGGGTATAGGAAGTTTTTTGTTTCCGTTACGCAACCAAAACACATTAATAGAAGATCGCCACCGAAAAATAGTTAGCACCCCGATACTCAAATACCATTGACTTTCTGGCGAAATGTTTTTTTGTAAAACTACTGAGCGAACTCTGTAAAATACTGATATCCAACTCGTTGTAAGTAAACTTTTTACTAAATATGCGTCACTCATTGGCTCTTTGAACCACGGTTGGCATATGTATAAATTCGATCTGATTGATATGAAAACAGAAATACAAAAATGAATCTCAAACACTTGCGGAAACAACTGATACCTGACATCTGGCACAACGGCGTCCGAGAAAATTTCGTGAATAAGACGGTGGTTACGCATGTAACGCGAGGCAGCCAGATGCTTCACAGAAAGCTCTTCCGCGTCATCATCGTCTTCGGCCGGTTGGATCGAGACTTTATTTGCATCCTTTGATGAGTACTATGCTTGCAGAAAAACGTACGTTTTACGTAATTATAGAACGGCTCATCTAAATGAGCCTTAGTATATGCATCAGGTGATCGCTTATAATACAGTAATAAAAAAGCATCGTCTATAAATATAAGATATACAACGTTTTAAATAAAATAAATTACTTGAAGAGGAATAACAAAAGTAAACTTACTGCTCCACGTCCCCCTAATTTTTCATTCTGTTCACGCTCATCAGCCGCCTGCTGCGCTCGTACTTTTGCCGCAACGTAGCTTTGATAGGCGGGCGAGCTGTGATAGTTCTTTAATTGTTCGCTGTACTCCGCCCTTTCGACTTCGTAGTCGTCGATGTATATCTGTTTGTTCTCATCTGGCAGATCGCGCCACATTTGGCCAATCAGCTTTCCTAACTCCCATAATTTCAATTCAGGATTTTGTGCCTTTACGTGATCCCATACACGACGCGAGTACCGCATGTACGGCATAAGTGGCTTCTCCGGTGGTTTAGGAGGCTTAGGTACTCGTGAGTCTACCTAAAAATGCAGGCCATATATATATATATATA